TGCAGAGCTTCATTAATATTCTATTATTTTTTTGTTAGAGAAAGCAAGAAGGATGCCTCCTAAACTTCATAGCACTTATTCAGCATTTAAATTGTTTGGTGATAATTTAGCTTTGCAATTTTTTTAAAAAAGAGAAACCTCTAGAACTGTGCTCCACACATTATCACGATCAGTAAGTATGCAGATAAAGTTCTTTCTATTCTACTTAGCACAATTTGAAATTATCTGCAAGTGAAGTATATTCAACTGCTTATCTACAGAGAGGCATGTAGGACTCCAATTAAGTTTACATGGGTAAATGCAGATTTGTGTTTGTAGATGTCAAGATGACAGAAGCTTAATACTGTAAAAAGGCTAATCAACACTGAATATGTTTAGTGTCAGTAAATATTTATAGTGAAAACATTGCCTATGGTTTTATGCCTTGGCATTCCAAGTTCTAATTTTTAGTGAATAAAAATGTGGAGTGATATCCTCTTTGTAAACATGCTACAAAATTTTTGTTTTCTATAAAATTAATTTTATTTTCTCTTTCTTCTCTGTGTTTTCTTCAGAAGATGGGTTAGGAGTTAGGCTACAGTTAGTAATTTAATAAAAAGTCTGGTATGCATAGCAAGGTTTTAGGGTGGATGTAATACAGAGAATGAGGAAGAGAAGGAGGCAAGATAAACAGGCAGTATGAGGAGTAATTGCTTCTGCTTATGATTTGACTTTTTTTTTAATGCGGCCTTCTTCAAATAGTGGTTATTAGTCAGCTCTCGTCAACAAAGTGATTATTTAATGTCATTTATTAGGCAATAACTACAATTTAACTGGGAAACTAATCAAACCTCAGGAATATATGTACATTATTTATAAAATACACAAATATGTATGTCTATTATTTTTTTTGATTGATTAGTCTCTAGAAGTTAATTGCTGGTCTATTCTCTTTTACAAATGTATTCTGAAAAATCCAGAAGTACACCTGAAGTTGAACTTCTGCTAACATACATGTTTGAAGAATACAGCCAAGTGAAATAAAAAAAATAGAGATCCAAGGAACATTGATTATTTTTTTAAAAATTGTATTTTGACTTAGAGAAAACGATAATATAACTGCAACTGCAGTTCTCCATCAGTCTTAAAAGTGGAAAAATGATGCTGAAGTAGAATTTTGTTTTCTAGAGAGGAAATTAAAAAAAAGGAAAGAAAAAAAAAAAGGATTTTGTTTGTTTGTTGGAAATGTCACGGCTTGTCAGGTTAACAAATGTGATTTTGTCCCTGGCAGACTGCAGACCTGGTCAAGAAAAAGAAAAATTCCCTGAAAACCACTGCTACAAAAATACAATATACTTCAGTTTAGTGTCTAACTTTGCATGAAATAAGCACTGCCTGTTGGCCTCCGTTTGATCCTGTGAGAGTGTGGGGCTAATGTCTGGCCAGTGTTTTGGAAGCAGCAGGTAGCCAGGAGCAAGCTGCTCTAGGGGTCCATATTTCTGTAGCCTCGCAGTTACTCACACACAGATGGAGACCTTATGAACTTTGACAGAGGTCACGCTAAATTGCAAATCTAAAACTTCTAGACTTCTGAAGGATTACACTGGTACTCTTTTCTTTTTAAAGCCATATGATTGGGAACATCACTAAAGGTATCAACCTGGTTTCGAGAAGTCGATTAGGTACATGGTCATTGCTCACATAGTTGTCGTGGAGACTGATAAAGATAGCTGGTTGTGATACTTTAAAGGGAAACTGTTGCACATTAAAATTCTAATTTACCTATGTAAAAATACATATTTTATATTGCTTCCCAAACACCTAGGCTTGCCTGCTGTATTGAACTTGTTAAAGGAAATTCGGAGCTTAAAGCATTGCAGAAGCCTCTGATTTTTCTGATGCATATGACTTCGAAATAATTATTAAGTTACTCCTAGTATTTTTTTTTTATTTCAGGCCTTTTGAGGCAGTCAGTTGAGACATGAAGCTCTCTGTCAGCTGTCATCAGCCATCATCTCACCAGGGATCTTATAGCAGTTTAGGAAAGAAAAACAGGAGATGATCTGGTTACACATTGTAGAGCATTTAAATCCTGGACTCAGTCAAAGTCGAGGAGCATTGAAGAGCTCTTCTTTTGTCTTCTAATTATAGTCCTGAAGCTGTCCTTAATAAATTAAAATCTCTGTGTTATTTCAGCTTAACTTTCAAACACAAAAATATGGAGGGGATTTGTGGCAGCCAAAGAAAGATTTTATTTGTTTCCAAGTTACACTAATTTAGTGTAAGATTATTTTTTTTAAATTTTTTGTTTTGGTGAAGATGCAACGTGAGTTTCATTCAGTATTTATTAAATCAGGGTCCATGAATGACTATCTAGGTCACAGACAGCAAGGAGGCTGATCCTCTTTTAATCAAATGGTCCAATTTTTATCTTGCCATCATTGAACTGGTTGTGTAATGTGCTACTTAATGGCTCAAGAACTAGCCTTTAAAGCTGTGACTTCATGATTCAGTGAGGCTAAGTCTGACTCTCTTGTGTTGAAAGTGGTTTCGGTAACGGCCACACAGAGAGCTTGAAAATTCACACCAGCAGCAGACTGTAGGGGAAAGAAAGCTTTAAAACTGTTTGAACTGGTCTGCACATAAAATAACAAGAATGTTATTCATGCTTCTAAAATGGAAAAACACAAAGGGAGAAGAAGTAGGAGCACAAAAGAACCTCCATCTATAGCCCCACCAGTTCACATTCACTGTAGTGCTGATGTCTTTGCTTTGGTGAGATCTCGATAGGGGAAAAAACTCCAAATAGCTAAATTTGCTGTCGAGAGACCTGAGTTTGCAATGGATTCTTATTCATGCTATTTTAAACTAGAGCTATCATCAAAAATGTGCAGATAACTTTCAGTCATGTCATCACTGAATTAATCATGATCACTTTGTAAGTAAACACATCTAAATTTAAAGTGTAGGATCTTGTGCTTTACAAGAGTTATGGGTGCACAGACATGTTTTTACAAGATAAACCAGTCTGTGACGTGCTCTACATTTTATACTTCCTGGTGTGCACCTAACGCCCAAGTTCACGTGCCCTGGCAAATGCAGCTTGGTTTGGAGTTGCCTTTCCCTCTGACATGGAGAGGAAAGAATGTGAATTACTTTGTGTTTCCTGAAGAGCGACAACGTGCGCAGCCGAGCTTGGGTAATCTCTTTCCTTTAGTGCCTTCCTCATTTATCCATACCTGGAATGGATGCAACAGCTGCATAAACTTACAGTTTATGCTCCTGAATTGCATGTCTATCTCAGCTTCTCTTAAGAAATGTTAACGTTCATGAGGCAGTGTTACTCTCTTGTCATGTTGGGATTAAACTGTCGTGACTCCTCAAATTTTCTGTTGCAATCTCTTTCCAAAGTTGAAAAGAGAGTGGAGGTAAAGACAGTGGTTTTCTTACCTGCATAATCTTCAAACTTTTCTTTCCAGAGATGACGTGTACTACTTTCAAAAGAGAAAGTATTTTCTCTTTGAAAATTTTTTGGAGTGCAGTAGGTAGATAATTTAAACTATCTGGGGATTCTTTTCCCAGGGATTTTTTTCTTTACCTTCTTTCCTCTCTCACATTGTATAAAGACTTCTTTGTATTTAATATTTCAGTGAAAGGACTTTTAGCAACTGTCGTATTTGGTGCTAAACTACAAGTACGTCTGGCAAAGTGCAGTTTAGCATTAAATTACTTAGTTACACAGCTGTGTTAAAATCAAAGAGAAATAAAGGTTGAAGGATTTCAGAAAGTCCTCTAGTCCCACTGCCTGAACTAAGGGTATACCAACTATATCTGCATTCTGAAAGATGTTTCTTTAAACTGTTTTTGAACATTTTCACTGACTCCAAAACCCTTTCCCATGCCAATCTTTTTTGCTTTGTTAACTGTCCTGAGTTCATATCTTGTGCTCATGTCTACTCTTGATTATGTTGTTTCCAGCCATTGCTGGACATGGGAGATATGGTTTATTCCTGTCCTCTCTGAGAAAACAAGTTAATCTTTTACTCATCTGTGAGGAAGGGGCAGTGGGCTTACTGTTTTGTGTGCAAGTACTGGACTGATGCTGGCAGAATCCTTGGAGCTCTGTAGCTTTAGATTGCTTTGTTAGAAGTTGTCTTCGTTGGCACAAAAAGCAGGAAAAAAGAAGGGAAAGAAAAATATGAGAAAAAGAGAGGAGACAGGCGAAGAAGTGGAATGAAAGGGAGTGAAGAGAATTCAGAAAAAAAAGAAAAAAGGTATAGTACTCAAAGAAATAAAAGGGCAAAGGTGGCTGTAAGTGTTCCATAAGTAAATTTTTAAAGAATTTTTTTGGGGTGGAAGGAGGAGTCTGGAAGCCTAACAGGGTCATGCAATGGTGCTAAAGGGAGAACAAGGACATTCAATAAAAGAATTGGCCAGGCAAGGTTGGGTAGAGGTATATGCCAAAGTAGCAATAGATTTCTTTGTTTTATAAGTTCCACAGGAGTGTCATAAAGTTATACAAACAGTGATGAAACTTTTAATTATCTTCCATTACTGTGACTGGAGTGTAACATGGCCCATACCTTCCCCAGGAGTGTGTGTATGTGAGGTGGCAGGATGACAAAGTGGACCGGCGTTCACTGGAACTGGGCTGGAATTGGTCATTTCCAGGAGATGGCTCTGGTCTTGCCTACATCTGCTGGGACTGAACCAAAAGTCTCTTGGTTGTGCTTCCTGTCATTGACTTAACTATGTATTTGAATTAGGCTCTGTGAAGTGAAAATTTGGAAGGTTTACTTCTTAATTAAACTGAGTGTTTAAGGAGAGTATCTTGAGACAGGAGTGGGACAAAACTGGTATATCTGCATTGACTATATCAGTTCTGTGGTCTCTAAGTTGTGAACAAGTATTTATTCTAGAAAGTTAAGAGCTCATACTTTTACAAGTTGCTTTCTACTGTAATTTGTGATTGATATGCTTACCTGATTTTGTATTGATTTTTTTTTTTTGTTTATTTTCAGGTGTGGCTCACAATATTTCTTTACTGCGAGAAGTGATCATCCATCCACGCTTTGTTCAAGGGGACATCAGCACTAAATTCCTTCCTGAAGTCTATCCTGATGGTTTTAAAGGTTTGTTCCATTTGGGAATATTTCTTTTTTCTTTCTTGAGAGGTGTTGTTTCTGATTATTATTCCTTTTCACAGACTGACATGTTCCCCAGTCAGTCTTTATTTTTTTTTTTCCTAAAAAGTATTTGTGCATACATGAAATTAGTTTTTAAGTAATGCATAATAAAATTGAAATAGTTACTTTTTCTGCTTTCAGGAAGACAAAAAACATAGTGACAAAACAGTAAATGAAGTACATCCAACATCAAGAAAAACAATTTGTAGGTGATAAGAAATATGTAAAATAAATACCAATTCAGATCTACCATGTTTTTGTGCTGTTACACACTGTGTTCCTACTGTTAACAGAAGAAAAGACTTTTTTTTGTACTCACCACTATTGCTTCTGCAATGAGTTGGTGCAACGTGTTTAGAATGGTCTTTTGGCACCCTTAGTATTCACCGTAGCGTTGTCTGGATGGAGGGTCTGGCATTTTATCAGAGTATTTTGGTAACCGAGTCCTAATGCTCATGTGGGCATCACCTTGAAATTACGAACTTGTACACTAAGTTAGCAGAAACACATGTGCAGGTGTTTCTTTACAAATTGCAAGCAACTGAGATGCAAAAATGTGTGATGGTTGGTGGAGAAATGCAAGTAAACATAGATTGGTTTCCTTTCACAAAGCTTAAATTTTGAAAGGTTATTTTCTCTCTCAGCTGATTGTAGATGTTTTCTTGACCTGTCTGGTTCTATACAGTCATGACACCTCAGCTGTCATTCATGAGGTGCAGTACCTCTTCCTTAACAGAAAAAAAAAAAAGAGGAAAAAAAGTCAATGTTTTTAGCTCATAGTTCATGGGTCCTTTATGAATCCTGTGGAGATTCCTTTCTCTCCCACTCGTCATTAATCCAATGTGGCAGAATCCTCGTCCTGCTTTGGAGACAACACTGGCAGGTTGGCAGTCACTGGACGTGACTGGCACCTTGCCAAATTCTAGTCTCGTTATGGAGCACAACATATTTTTCTTACCTCAGGACTCAGTTGTGTGAGTTTAGTCCAAAAAATACTCATCCACAGAACTACATTGTATCGTGATGTAATTGGCAACTGTATGTGATAGTCCTACGTGTGGGATTAACGTGTCCAGGTTGTTACTGGCTCCTGGCTGTGACCAAAGCAATAGGAGTTAGTCACCTTGGGTGGCAGTAAGCTTGTGATGGTTGAAGCTCAAATGTTCCTTTGTTGTCTTAACTAATCTTCAGGTAACTCCACTCTGGCTTTTATCCAGCAAAGACTTGAGGGTACTCTGATCTCCTCTGAAGGCTCAGTGCTGCGGATTAGCCGATCTGTCTCCTTCCCTGACGCTTTCATACAGAATCCCATGTCCTGTCTCTTTGATGGTTCTGGGACTTCTCACTTCTTTTCCTCAGTGCATTTAATTCCCTAAATCACAATAAAATGGCTTTTTAAAATTTGTTGCTGCTTAGGTGGGGATAGATTTTTGAGTTCTTGGGTCTTTGCTTGTGAAGGAGTCTGGGGAACTTCAGCTTATGCGCAAAGTGAATGGCAGGCTAGTAATGAGAAGGGAATGGAGAAGAAAGGCGAGGATGCAAGATGTTAGATATGTTTATACTATTTTGTGAAAAGGCAGCCTCACCTCACACAAACCAGGAACAATAAAAGCATAAACCATTCTACCCTTATTTGTGATATTGTGTCTGTTGGGCCCTTGATCTCTTGTAAGAAGCTGGGACCAATTTTGCTGACCCAGAAGGAGACTCCTTGCTCTGTATTTTTGACTGTGGAAAGGAACCCTTATCTTCTTTTATCTTTTTTTAAATACTTTGTATTTCAATGTTGACTTGTGTATAACCAGTTAATTACTTGTTGGTCCATAAATTGCAGATGACAAGAAATTCGTTTTGGGGTCATCTGACCCGAACTGTATATGCATGTATTTGAGTGCACAGGCACACTGATACAAATGGTTGGTTAGTGTCACAATCTGAGATGAACAGTAATATTGTATTAACAGAGTCTTGAATCTAAGGTTTTGTTCTAGACACCAGAAGACACAAGAATAGATACTGTGACCGTTAGTAGTGGAAATTAATGAATGGCACACATGAAATGACTACACTTTGTTCCTGCTGTATGAAGCGTGTTGCTTTTCTCCTTCCATGTATCAAATACAACCATAGATTAGCCTTCTTAATGATAAAAAATTGCAGATATCATTATTACAAAACATTTGTATTTCATGTCTAGCACTGATTCAAAGCTCATTAAGTAATTGAGAGCTCTTTTAGAGATGTAGTTTGCTCTGCATAAGACCCTTCTGGCTTAAAAAAAAAAATCAGTGACTTGAATTAGAGGACAATGTTTTAAGCATTTGTTGAAAAATATTTCTGCAAATGCAAAGATGCTAATGAAAAGTGTTGAAAGCAAGCAAGGGCAGTGGGCAGATCATGAGCAGAAGCTCAGCGAGAGCAACAAAGGCAAATTAACTTATGCAATGTAAGGTCTCTACTTTCTTCAGCTAACTTTTTTGTATAAATACCCAATGTAAACTTTGCTCAGAGGATTTGAAGATTAAGTAGCTTTATTTATCTTAATATTATTTGTAAAAGACATAGCTGTAAAAAAAGATCTGGAATAATCTGAAAAATTAGAGCAATGTACAGCAAAAGTCGATTTGGAAACACCTAGAAATGTGTGCTGTTGTTAATAGTTGGAATCCATATCACAAGTGTTTTAGATTTGGGAAGCTTAAGACATAAAAAGAATTCAATGAAGGTGCATGCTATATTAATGCTTGAGCACAATCCAGTGTTTCTTTTGTAAACTACACAATTGCTACTGTTTGTCATTGACACAGACCAGTAATGCATGTCAGCTGTGTACTTTCTGGTGACTGCAAGAAGTACTGGCCCATTTCTTATGTGCATTTTTCTTCAGATAGAAATATTAACTTTAGACTTAGGAGTAAAATAAGATATGCTTTGTTTTCCAGTCTTGTTTTCAAGGGTTTCATTATAAGTCCTTTCTTAGAAGGATTTTACTGTAAGTTAAGAAAAAATAAATTACTAGAAACATCTTAACAGCTTTTCCATTAACCTGTAATGCCCACTTCAAATTACATCTAGAATGGGAATGTTTAGTAATTTTTCTAATCGAGTTTTAACTCTTTTCTTCCCTTCTTTAAATAAGCATCCATTACCAAAACCAGTTTTGTCTTCCGTGAGTTACTTTAACATATTCCTGTGCCGAAACTAACCTTGCTCAGGGTATGATTAGTGTGGGAAAACAGCTGCTGTCATACCCTTTTGTTTAGACTTTGAGGGAGGGCTGGCTGGAAGGCTGGCTGGAAGGCCGGCTGGCAGTGGCTCAGCTGGAGTGGGTTATTGCTCTGAGCGCACATGCACATTTTGGGAGGAGTGGGTCTGAGGGTGGGTGCGGCAACACTGATTAGGTCAGGTGACGTAAATACATCTGTCTCTGAGTAGCCTCCAAGCACTTTGCTCGCAAAATAAAAATGTTAGCCGAGCATGCAGGAGTAGCTCAGGCTATTAGTTCTGAGTATCGGCAGGTAAGCTGACTATGGTTTCCAAGCAGCCTGTGGTGCCTCTGTACTTCTTAACCTGCCTGATGAGAAAGGTATATGTGATCTATTATTTCTGTTTTATACACACTGAAAATATCTGTTTTCACAAAGATCCAAGATGAGTCTTTGACAAAGAACAAATTAAACTCAAGAATCTTTAGGTTAGTACCCTATTTATTGGATCATTGTGGTTCAGTCTGTTTCATAGTTAATCTTTTCCTGGATATCTGTTTTAACATTGAGTTGATTTTTTTTTTTTATTATCGGGCCATCTTCCTGGTTATTAAGTGTCATCTCAAATGCTTGGTTAGTCTCTCTGGGAGAAATATCCTGTGTGAATGAGAAATGGGGAGTTTTCCAAGAGATTATTGCAAAAAGTTGTACCAAAACACAGGGGAAAAAGGGAAGATGAATCCTTAACTTCCCCTTTTGTGGCCTGTTTACCTCATTTGGGTGGAGAGGAAGAGGAGGTGTTCTGAGGGACAATCCTTTATGCTAACTGATTTCTCATACAGAAAGGAAAAACGAGGAAGCACATCTCTCCTGCGTTTGTGTATTGGCTCCAGAGACTATGTATGAGACGAAGACGTTTAGATACTTTGTGTGTGTCATGATTGTATAGGTTGGAGGAGATGATTGCTCTACTTTACTCAACACTTATTAAATGACCTCTGGAATAGTGTATCCAGTTTTAATCCCCTCATGCATATAGGAAATATGTCAGTAAACTTGAGTAAGTCTGATGAAGAGCCACCAAGTTGTTGGTGGGATTGAAAGAGAGGACCTGTGAGGAGATGCTGGGAGAACCAGGCTTGCTTTGCCTAGAAACAAGAGAGCTTAGGGTGGACCTAAAGGCAGCCTTCTTGTACCTCTGAGAGCATTCCTGAGAAGATGAAGCCAGGCTCTTCAGTGAGTTGCACAGTAGCAGAGCAAGAGGCTGATCATAAATTGGAGATTTTCAAGACCTCTGAGCAACCTGGTCTGAATTTGGTGTTGAGATTTCTTGGTGGGGAAGTTGGGGCACAGTGAATAAACAAGCATCTCCCAAGGTCCCTTCAATCTCAGTCATTCCATGATTCTGTTATAAATAAAAGTGTGGTGGTTTTTTTTTTTTTTTTTTTTTGTGAATGGAGACTGTAGGTATGACTTTTAAATTTAAGTCTGGAGACTTTTGTTATTGGGAGGGTGAGGAATGTGCCTTGCCTTGACTATGTTGCTATTGGAAGGGAGAGGATGATTGTGGTTAATTCCATTCATCTCCACACTGGAATCTAATCTTTGTCTTCATTTTATGGAGCTACTGGATTATAAAAATTGACTTAACAGCTTACTTGATGTTCTTCTTTCTGACAGGTGAAGCCAAAAAACATTTCTTGGTCTGTCACTAATCCCTTTATAATGCAAAATAGTAGAGGTTTCCTTTCTGTATGCTTATAGCACCATTTTATAAGTGATTACAAGGTCTCCAAGAGACATACTTCTTCACTGTTCTTAATGGTTTGAGATTGCGTACACAGGCAATATTGTCTGTCTTCTACTATGGCCATCTGGGTGGAGCAAAGCTCTGTTGGACTTCAGAAGAAATTAAACCCTTTAATAACATCCAACTTCATTTTCTGCCTCAGCCTAATTGGTATACATGTCATGTATAATGGTCAACTTCAAAATTCATTGGGGAAAAACTCAAGCCAAAACAGAACTCAGAAATTGTATGAACATTGCCTGCATTGGTATAGATCTGAATTACACATTGCGCTTTCTGTCGTACCCACTTTGCTTTTAACTTTTTATTCTTTCCAATCAGCAAACAGTCACTTTTCAAGTATTAAGTAACAGACAAGGGCATATAACCAGGGCTTGTTTGTTTTGTTTTTTATCCTGTAATTGATAGTAGGAAATACATTTCTAGGACAAAATGCAAATGAGACTGTTATGGGAAAAATGACCTTTTATGTAATTTAATTTGGAGTTGGTTATGTAAAGTAATTGCATGAACCTTTTTGACTCAGCTTGGGGGATACTGAGATAATATTGATTTAAGCAATCATAACATCAGGGAAATGAGAGAAAAATACTTTTTCCTCGTCTTCCTTCCGACTTGGGTCCTGTCATTTAGTAGTAATAGATGTGTGCGGTCTAGTTTTGAATAATATGAGCAACAGTGCTCCCACTCCTTTAGTTGTGACTTAATTTTATAGCCATTAATCCTGTTTCGCATTCACCTTATATAGTTCAGCTCAGCGGTGACAGTGATAATACTGAAGTATATCCCAGGTTGAGCAGAGGGATTTGGGAGCTGGTTTACATTTTGTGGTGGAGGTAAAATTCTGTGTAGCCCAGGAGCCTGCAGTGATGAGAGTAGGAAAGAGCAATGGCAGAACTTCCCATGCTGGAAGACGAGGAACCTTTGCTACTTATTTCTTTCTCTCCCTATCAAGGCAGCACTTGGGCAAATGCCCCAGGGATAGCTTTGTTACTGTTCTTATTGATCTTCTGCATGGTAAACGTGAAAGGCTGTGTTGTTATATCTTTATTGATGGTGAATATTAATTTATACCTCAAGATACCCAGTTGAAGTCCTGAGAGGTGGCTTCTAAAGTAGGGTAAAACTTGAAGTGAAATGAAGGTATCACTGTCTGGAACATTCGCGTCTTTCCAAATATAGTAATGTAGTCGAAAGTTTCGCTTCAAAACTGTTTAAAATTCTGCTGAGCAGAAGAACAAGAGCAGAAGGCAAGGGCAATGGGACTGGAGTTCAGAGAACTAAGGCAGTGCTGACAGCAGCCTGTCTTTTGTAATAAAGGTAAATTGCCATCCATAGGAAGCACCCTTTAATCAAGCTTCTGAGGTATGCCTCCGAAGTTCTGCCAAGGACATTCTGTGGTAGGACTGTATCTTTATTGCCAAACACCAACACCTAATTTTGGTATGTTCTTGTTAACAATTTATGTTACCTCACAGCAATCCCAAATTGGATACTCGTCATGACTGGTTTTCTGTTTGCCACAACTAATGCAAATAATGACAAATGGAGAAGGCGGTTAAATGTGTGGTGGGTTTTTTTTAAGTTTGTGGTAATGAAACAGTGAATGTAATTCTTGATAGGTTGTTAACCTCTTTCAAATTATTGACCTTTGTTCACTGTTTGGAGTTTGATTTTTATTGAAGATACGGGGAGAAAATAGTTTTTGCAGCACAGCAAGCTAAAAACCAGTTATTGATTTCATCCAAGGTGAAGGTCATGCAGTAAAACCTTCAAATTGAGATCGTTCTAGTTTTCCTTTGTTCCTTTATGTGAGCTGATAGTACTAGTTTGAGTTGGAACAGGTGGGAACATGTGGTTTGATCACACGGACTTTTCGTGGGTGTTAGGCAGTGTAACTGAAAAGCAGAAGTTTTAGGATAGATTCCTCATGTATCTTTAGCTAGGGCATGTAAACAAATCGTGAGTTTTAGAGCATTTTGGAAGAATTATTCCAGAACTTCATTATGTATAAACAATTCAACAATTCAAAAACTGACATATTTCAGAGCCAGGTAGTTGATTTGATTGCATTGTATAATTATGTAAGGCTTATATATGCATGCATATGTGTGTATATATATATTTATTAAAAAAAAATATTTCAAAATTTTTTTTTTTTTTTTTTTTTTTTACTTTTGCTTTATAATCAGTTTTTCTAGTAACTGGCAAAGGAAGGATCAAGTTTGTTTCTCAAGCTAGTTCCTTAACCTTTCAGCATTTGTATTTCTGCATGTGTTTGTTAAAGCGAAGACAGTTTCCATTTCAAGGCAGATAAAAAAATAACAAACACTGAGGAAAGGAAGTTGCAGTAATCTTTAGCCGGAATATGTTAATATGGGCTGAATTAAAAATAGATTGATGCAGATTTGCTGCCTTTTGTTATTTTTAAATTTACTTTTTCTGGCCTGTGACAGCTCCTTTATACTGTTAGTTGGAACTGTAATGAGGTAATTTCCATCGCCATGGGATGGTTGCATTACTGAGGTGAATTTGAGCAGCCTCTTCACCTGTCCATATTTAATGTGCCTGGTAGAATGATGGGTCCTGTGCAGATGTCCTATTTTGAAATTGCGCACTTGTTGCTGTAAAGTCTGCTCCAGTCCTTTTCTGAGGCCTCCACACTGTTTTTTCTTGAGGATTGTAGTAGTCTTACTTCGTGCTATTGACAGAAATTGTCACTTACTAGTGAACCAGTACTGGGGAATGTGAATTAACACTGCATGCTGTAGTGCTGAGATGATGCGAAAACAGGGATGTAGAAGGGAGCTCTGTCACTTTCTCTGCTGCGGGACTGGAACTAAATGTGTCCCCCTGGGCAGCGTTGCTCAGGGAGATAGAGCCTCCTGACCCCTTCCACAGCCTCTTCCCCCGTCCCTTCCTGTGAAGGAAGCTAAACTTTCGACTGTGTTACTATATTTGGAAAGACGCGAATGTTCCAGACAGTGATATCTTCATTTCACTTCAAGTTTTACCCTCCATACTTGCCACAGATGACAGTATTTGCTGCAATACGTACGCATAAAGCACTTGCCAAGAACTATGTTTTAACTGAGTTCAACTAAGTCTTTCAGTCTTAACCTTTATCTTTTTTAAAAAACTTTATTTATTGTATTACCTTCCACTCTGGCTTTTGAAACGCTCTTGCTTTCATCTGTGCAAAATCTGTCTCATGAGGATAAAGTTTGCTACTTTTTCTCCATGACAATTCAGCTTTGCACTCCTGGTCCACTTCTGTGTCAACTTCAACTTCCTGCCACTGCCTTATGGACTGAATACTTATCCGTTTGTTCCCTCTCACATGAGTTTTGACTGTTCTACTTCTCTGGTGACATCAGTTTTGGCCACCTACGTGCCAGCTTTTCATACCAAATCTGTGTTACTCAGTTTCTAATGTAAAGATGGGAGGATCGCAAAATTCTGTCACTGTGCTCTGTCTTTTAGGCTGCTGAATGCACAATTGGATTTCTAATTAACCTTCACTTTCTGGAAGAAAACCAGGTTGGGAGAAGCCCTGCTTCCCGTCATCCTGGTTTGCAGGTTTTTGTCCAAACCTTTATTAGCTTGCTTGCCTTCAGACTGTAGGCTACTTTGAGCCGTTTTCTGCTTAAGAAGTGCCAAACATGAATTTGACTCCATTAGTCACAAACTAACGATTATGCAAATGGCGGTAAATGACTCAGGGCTGATGAGCGGTTTTTATCCCTATTTATTTCTGGGGTTTATAGTGTTGCATTATCCCTTTTGCTTGGAAGGTCTGTAGGCTTTGCAAGGTAAAGGAATGAGAAGGAATGCTGTATATTTTGAGTAACTTCTAGTGTACAGATGGATTCCTTACCAGTATGAGACACAATATGTCAACGAGTGACATTTCAGTAACGAAAACAAGATGCTGCACCATCATTCAGGTTTTTTTTCTTTCAGTTGTCAAATTGTTTTTAACAGACATACCAGTGTTAGCAGTAGGGCTGATCTGTATGAAAACATGTAATTTAAACTCTGAAACTCGGAACGTCTGCTATGCGAAGCCTCATCTTAAGTTTGAGGGAAAAATGTAGGTTTCATGTATTAATGACTGAGCAGTGTCTTCACTGGTAGGTGTTACTTTTTATGTCTGTTGGTCTGTGGTATCTAATTTTTTTTTCCTTTTAAACTGCTTTCTGAAAACTAGGACACAGGTTGACGGATCTCGAAAGAAGAGAACTACTGGCAACAGCAGCGTCTTTGTATGTGGCTGAACAACTGAGATCACAGCGATTTCTAGGGACTCCAAGGTAAGTTCATTTTTAGGAACTCAGATGTGCTGATGCATTTTATTAATGGCATCTTCTCATACACAAGAGACACTGGTGAGAAAACGTATCATTTCTTAATATAGTCTGCTTTTTCTAAATTCAAATGAGCTGTGGCTTACATTTCTCTACTCACACGTCATACATGATTATTTGTATTCTACATATTAGGAGACTAATAGGCACAAAAATGTGTTACAAACCAGGACAGTAATTAATGCGCATCAGGAGTTTCATTAATGCAAAACATTGCTGCATTACTTACTAACCACAAATTGAGCATCACAAATTTCCCATGTGCCCATTTGAAGTGATCTAAGCACTTAATATGAATATTCAGCTACAGAGCTTTAAAATATTGTGGATTCATGAGTAATTTGTAACCTTGACGAAGATCCTTAATAGTTAGAATCTAATTGTGAAAACACTTTCTGACTTGTAGATTCTGGAAGAGTCAGTACGCTGCTTGGAAAGTATGGGTTTTGATGCATTTCTTCCTGCACTCCCTCGTTCTTTTGAATAGTAACTGCTCGTAACCTAGATGGAACTGTTAATTGGCCAGCTATTGCAGTAGCTTATGTCAAAATACAAATTCACTTCTTTGTCTTTTTGGAACAGTATGCTTTTTTTCCTATAGGATGTTTCTAGCTTTCCTTGTTCTCTGGTCTGTCGTTGTCAGTGCCTTGAGACCTTCTAGTAGAGCAACTGAACTTGTGAAACTTGCTTGGGTAGTTGTTGTTTGCAACAGTTGCATGCTGTGAATCTTAACTTCAGCACGACTCTTTCTTCCTGCCTTGCATTCTTTAACGTAGTTGTGTGTGTGCGCATGTTTGTGTGACAGGGAAATCAGAATGCAGATAGATATTATTCACATTCCATGCCAGTGGTTTGACAGTGTATTCTATTACTGATTTTACAGTGGTCAGGAATAAATCAAATGTGGTTTCAAGAAGTCTTTATTTTTATTTGTACCCACAAAGATAAATAGTACCATGTGGTGTTAAAAAAGAAAAGAAGAAAAGAGACACTTAAGACAAGCATAATGGCTTTGTAATATATAGCATATGTAGGGCTAGGTCATTGCTTGCCTTATGCACCTATAGGGGAAAATAAAGCACCTTTTTATTTCCTTCCACAAGTTATATCCTCCATAGAAAATAGCATAAGGAGAGGAACAGACACTTGAAGAACACTGTTCCCTAAATAAAAGACAAATGAGGGACAATGAGGAGGAGCCTTGATTGCAGTTTTTACTGACCAGAATAGGAAGTTGAGTAGTCTGGTATTGCTATAGAGAAATATTGGATTACTTTGTGCTTAGAGTAAGGATGGGGATTCTTGACTTAAGTAGTGATTCTCAATCTGCTATTGTAATCTCTGCTCTGATTTGAGGTTTTTTTCCCTCTGGCTTGTAAAATGTTTCTACTTGCTAAAACGAAAAGCAGTACAATTTTTGAAGAATCTTTTAATGTTTTTTATCTATTGCTGGTATTTTATTTCAGTACTAGGTGTCTGTGTATCTTGATAGAAAAGATATATACAACTACCTTAACCGAGATGTTGGAATGTGTAAGTGAAGTATTGCTTTGAGCAATCAGGTATGGTCATTGATCTGGGTTTTTTGGGGTTTTTTTGATGCTGCATTAGGGAAACAAATACAGCTTATTTTTGGAGTCCTAGCCTAACTCCCTCACATACAGTCCTCCACCGTGAGAAGAAAAGGCAGCAAAGTCTGATGACATGAAGTTTCTAAGACGTAGATTAAGGTCTGTTTTTTTAGATTTTAAATGGTTGAGCTAACAAACCTTTTCAGTTTAGGAAAGATCCCTTTCTCTTGCCATGATAGAGCTGTACTTATGTTCAGCTCAGCTTTCAAAGGATGGTCTTTTCTATCTGCTGAGGCATAGGCAGATCTGGAATGAATCCTTCAGAAGCTGAGCCTTAGAATTTTCCCAAAGCAGTGTTTGAGTTGTGGTTCTTATCGAGTAGGTGGTGATTTCAATCCGCGTATATGTTAGATCTACTTGTTTTAACGATACTAAAGGTGCCCGTTGGAGGCCAAGTAAGAAGAAGATAATGTGAACAGGCTTACTAGTAAATAACTTCTGAAGAAAACCAAACCTGATGATACCCTTTCTCCAAAATCATGCAGCTCCTTCAGAGGAAAAGTCAAAGAAACAAAGGCAGAAAGGGGTCAAGGGATTGATTGTGCAATGTCCTGGACAGTGATCTCCATTCCTTAGAGCAGCTAGTGGACTCCCTCTAGAGGGGACTGAGGACTGTGGAGCATACAAGTTGCTGCAGTCCCATCAAGGATCCCTCACTGTGTGTCCTTAACTTACCCAAAGCGCATTTCACTTGGTTTTGAGCACATTCCATGTTCATGGGTACTTTTTAGGGAGCAAGGTTGTGGCTGTAGAAAGCACATCTTTATTAGTATGACTGCAATCTGTTCAAAAAGTATTTTTAAGCAAAAAGTGCAAAGTAGGAACCTGTGCTACTGGCAACAAATCAAAAAGGCCAGTTGTAGTCTTGGATGTGGTTCACCATTGCAGAACTGGGTGTTTGGATTCTGTGTGAATTTTAAATCCGTGTTGGAGGATGTAAGTGGATTAGACAGACTGCATGCTCTAAAGTTGATCCATAATATTCTCCTAATGGCTTGGAAAAGTACATTGTGACATGTTGATCATAATTTTCAAAATTTCAGCTATCTGGCACTATTTATGTTGACAGCATTTTTTTTTTGTATGCACTGAAAGCAGTTGGGGTTTTTTGTGTGAGCTTTTTTCACTAAAAAGTAGTATTTTGAAGTGATGCACTATTTCTTCTAAACTTGTCACAGCCGTCAAATCTACAATTTTCTGCTGAACTTGAGTTATATGCTTATCTTTGGTTTTGGTTTGTTTTCCTTTTTGGGAGTCATAATATGCATTCCCCTTCATGATCTATTCAGCCCAAGCTCTGGATTGTTATTCTAGTCAGAGAGGTCTTGGAAGTCTTCACAGAAGCTCCACCTTTCACTATCAGGGCTACGCAGACTGCAATGAGATGAAATGCAGCTGAGCCAGATTAAGGAATCATTGTCCCAGCCTCGTCCTACCTTGGTCTCTGTCTTTCCTCCTCCCCCAGGCATCATTTGTGTGTAGTTGCTTTCTACTCTGGTTCTGCTAAAATGACCTGTATTAGCGTAGAAAGAGTTTAATAATACTTTACTTTAGATCATTCTGACAGAACCAGGTTAAGTACTCATGACAAGCGAAATTATTCTGGGAGAGCTACAAGAGTGGGAATGTGTAGCAAGGAGGAAGAGGTGAGCAGAGGGTGGCTCATAAAAGGGACGCGGAGGTGGGCCTTAGCTCTGTGCCACAGATCAGACTAGTAGAAACCTCGTGAGGGGGGTTCTCTACTGTCGATATTTGCAGGAATGTGACTGGAAAATATGTAAGTTGCAGTCCCCTGGGCAACTGAATCATCAGCTGTAAGGTTCTTACTGGAATGTTTTCTGATGATCAGTGAGCTGTTGCCTCATTAGGCGCTTTTTTCAGCTGGTTTCAGACACACGTCGTGGGATTTTTTGTTGCAGTAGCTAGAGAGATGTTGAGGTTAATACAGGCCACAAGCCAAAGGCTAGTCTGCCTTTCCTATGTTAGAATAAATTGTGTTATGATTTGGGTGGAGCACCCACAGGTGAGTTTCCACTGTCTGCGTTACTGTGTGTCCCTGGCCTCGCCAACAGTCTCTGAAGATTAATTTGCCAACCATTAGTACAACAGCTGCTGGAGACCTGTATGTGCTCAGAGTTGCAGAAATACGGACATTTACTTTTGTTATGCAATCAAATATTATTTTTTTTCTTATTTTATTCCCCCTAATTTAACCAGATTTCTTGGGAGAGAGATTGTTGTGGTGTAATTTTGGGCTTTGTTTTGCTTTGGGGTTTTTTTTGTTCATTTTTGAAAGATGATTAGCTAGTGAAAATGCTTAGTATTCTGTGAAGCAGATACTAATGTGAATATTTCACTGTGATATGTAGATAATAAGGGCACGTTTCCTACAGGAAAGAGCCATGAATGATTGATGATTGTTTCATTGTTCAGCTTACAGTTATTTTACCTAGGACTTTTCCTACTTATTCCATAGCCCAGTTTATTGTGAAACTGGTGCCACCCACAGCTGCTGAACAGATTTACAGCATCTAGTAAAATCCCAAGGTCTTCTAGACAGAACTCGATCTTGTTTCAAGTGGAAACATATTTTGGCTGAAGTGAATCCAGCTTATTTTACGTCTGTTTGATGTAGTTAGCCTTTGAGACCAAAAATGATGTTGTACAGTTGAATCTTCACATTTTGGCTTCAAACTTGTTTTCATTAGTGAGCTGGGAGGGGAATGGGAGAGTGATTCTCCAGGTGTGGCTACATCATGCTATCTCATGGGTCTACTAATGTGATGTTTATACTTTTAAACGCAATTGCCTACAGCACTTCCTATGCGTTGCTTGTGTTGGCTTCGAAGTGTATTTTCCTAATTTTTCTATGGGTTTTGTCCTTTCATCATTTATGACTCGGAAAAAAGCCAGTGAGGCTGCATGCCCATATTACCTGATACTACATGCAAAAAGATGGTAACACATTGGAAAATGTTTTATATTTCTAGCAAAAAGACCCTACAAGTTTTTCTTGCTCATGTGTTTAATATAGAAGACTAGGATTAGGGAGTCTTGTGTTAAATTCCTGACTCTTCTTGTGGGACCTTTGAGAAGTCAGTTGGATTTGGCCTCGTTTTAGAAAAAGATAAAACGGTTTTAATGCTTTACTGCAGTATTGAGGTTTTGTAAATATATGTATGAAGTATTTTGAGACCTAAAATGGGTGATGCATTTTAAGCATAAAATAATACTTTCATGGGAAAAGTAAGTGTATAGTGAGAAATTAATACAAATGATTTTTTTGTCAAGTTCTGAAATAGCTGGGCTGAATTT